CCGCGGGTGTCCTGGTGGTTACCTTATCTTACATGGCAAGCAGCTCCCACCCAGCTACTAATGAAGGAATTAATCACCACTTCCTTTAAATTGCTAGGAAAAGTTAATATCTGTGCCCAAAATATTCTTCTAACAGCCCTATGATGATCAACTAGGAGATCTCCATTTAGAATTACTCATTACTTGGCTAAATTCTGTCAAACACATTTTAACCCTGCTTTCACTGTGTGCTGAAGCTAAGTAAAGAAAATTAAGTATAACTTCTCTTACTTACTTTTAAAATTTAATGTAGCCCTTCAATGATTCCTACTCTCAGTAAGTGCAATACTAGCGTAAATAAATAAATACACAGTTTAAGTTACTGTGACTCCTTCCCTCTTCCTGACCTGAAAGCACATCCCGACTCTAAAGGTAATGTTCATGAAGCTTATAATTTGCCAGGAAAGTTTGGTGGCATTATATATTACAATGTATGCAAGCAATTTCAAATACACCTTTTGGAAGTGCTGAAACATTTGGTACGTCATAGGAACCAAATTAAACTGGTTTCTGTAAGGCTAATTACACACAGACCGACTTGTGAGCAGCCTTGTCAGGATGAACTCACTGGTGTGCGCCACAGAGCACCCTGAGTGGGGCTGCACATGGTGTGGAGAGGTCTGGAGCATCCCGAGTGGGGCTGTGCATGGTTTGGAGGGGTCTGGAGCACCCCGAGTGGGGCTGTGCAGTTTGGAGGGGTCTGGAGCACCCCGAGTGGGGCTGTGCAGGTTGGAGGGGTCTGGAGCATCCTGAGTGGGGCTGTGCATGGTTTGGAGGGGTCTGGAGCACCCCGAGTGGGGCTGTGCAGGTTGGAGGGGTCTGGAGCATCCTGAGTGGGGCTGTGCATGGTTTGGAGGGGTCTGGAGCACCCCGAGTGGGGCTGTGCAGGTTGGAGGGGTCTGGAGCATCCTGAGTGGGGCTGTGCGCGGTTTGGAGGGGTCTGGAGCACCCCGAGTGGGGCTGTGCATGGTTTGGAGGGGTCTGGAGCACCCCGAGTCAGGCTGTGCATGGTTTGGAGGGGTCTCACATGCTGCTGCTCCTCAGAGATGACAGAAGTCGCCCAGCTTATTTTGAGAGAAAACCACATGTCCATCAAATGCAATGCACGTTCTCCTCCAAGAAAGCTGTCAGTGCTCAATCAAAGAGCACAATATTTTACTGAGCCACTTTGGAACATTTTCTACTATCACAGAAAGCGCACACTGTATTTGTGTTGGGAAAAGGAAATTTTCTGCTACGTAAAGCAGAGAAAAACCATCCTGGTAGTGATGAACTACGTTTAATTTCACAAAACTCAGAAGACTTCGGATAGGCTCAAACTGACCATTCAGTACTTGAAGTGTTAATTTTTTGTATTCTCTACTGCACTGCCAAAAGGGCTTGCATTCTGATGCTGTCCAGTGTGTCACTTACGTACTTCTCTTTTGTTAAGGTGCTATTACAAGCGCGGTATTTTACAGTTAAATTACTAAGAATGAGCCTCCTGGCTCCCAGCAGCAGGAGTTACACACAACGGGTAACTCATGAGGAGAATCAATCAGCTGTGAGTCACCCGGCTCCGTGACGTGGGTCTGACCACCAACTGCAACCCATGCGGGGATCCCCCCCACCAGCACCACCAGCACACCCCAGCAGCTGCCATCGGGCACTGAGCGGCGGTGCTGTGTCCAGCTGTTCCAAGGAGGAACAGCCCAGTGGCTTCTTCAGAGAGACCTGTGCAGGCTACAGCATGAGACCACAGTGATACAGCTGTAACCTCACATTGTTTTTCCCAGTCTATTATCTCCGATCTTGTAGTGTATAACATGGGCAAAAATATTTCATGTTCACATGTGACACTGATCATGTCTCATTTCAGGCTCTTCAGAGGCTTGAATGAGTATGGGATGCCATGAAATATCTTAGAAGTGCTGGGCACCATACCCATTGATAAGAATAATGACAAGAAATAATTTGAACAGGCAAGTAACCTGCAGGTACACAAAAACAGAGCAGTGTGGGAATGCAGGGCTGCAGCTGATCCACTGCTTCCTCTGCCCATGAACTACAGTTCCTGAGGATCCGCAGGTCTGCTCCTGCTCTCATCTTTCACACTCCTCATAGGAGCAGAACAGGCAACTACTCCCGTGTGCTGCTGGCACTTACGATGTAGCTGTAAGGAGAGGGGCACAGACTGACAAACCTAAACTACAAACTACAGCTTGTGTGCTTGGCTCAGGCATACAGAGCAGCACCTGCACTTGTCAAGGACCAGCAGGAACAGGCGCGCTCAGGTATGCGAGGGTCTGATCACCAGCTGGACTTATCGGGGTACAGCTGCACAGGCTGCACTCCACACCGTGCCGGTGCTGGGTCAGCTAAGCAGCTCCACGTGGGCTGCAGCAGTGCGGGCTGGCTGAGGGTGCTGGTGTCCCACCTCCCATTCCCTACCGGCTGTCACAACCGCTTCCCCTGGGCCGGCACTGGGGATGAGCTGGCTCCAAAGGACGACTGACACACTCAGCAGCTTGACACCAAACTGCAGTCACCAAACCAGGGGTGCGCTGCTGCAGAGGTACCTGTGGCTGCACTCAGCAGCTGCTTCACCAAGCAGCACCGCTCCAGGCCAGCGCCACCTTGCAGAAACCCGGGCCAGCCGTGGGGAGGTAAATGAGAGGCAGCCATGACCACGGGGGTGCACGAAGCCCTCAGCCAGATGTCTGGTGAAACATTGCCGAGCTGCTGACCACTGGAAAGGAGAGCACAGCTCTGTCTCTGACACAAAGCATTGCTGGTGTCCTCAGGGACTGAACACCTCAAAGGATAAAAAGGCGTATGCACCTCATACCTTAGTTTTGCTTGCTTTTTTAGTTTTTGTCACCAATTTGGTTTTGTTTCTTTTTTTTTTTTTTTAATATAAGGCTCTGTCAGACAATTCCTGTATCTGGCAAGGAGAAACACCTCCTTGCTCTCTAAATGCTGAGCTCTGTTTCTGGGAGGCTGTCAGCTGTCCGTGACCAACCTCTCAAACACAGCATTCCCTTTCCAGACCTTTTCTCCACGCCCCCTTTGTGTTTATTTAATTTCTTGTCAGCCTTAGCAAAACACTTACATCACCCAATGTTTGTTTGGGGAACACTTGTACCTTTTTAGGGTTATAAATTTTGCTGCTAAAATTGTGTCTGCTGTGGTACTGCTCCAAAAGATTGTCTCACCTTGACTCTTTCAGCAACTCCTCTAACTACACTGAAGGCAACTGGTTAGGAAGAAATGGAAGCATTTAATTCAAATACAGATTATTTTTTTCAGCCTTTCACACATCTCTTAAAAGAGATACCCACATTAAAGAATAAGTAAAATTTAACCAAGGACACATCCCAGAACATATTGTTCTAAACCACGTTTTAATCCCATTTTTAACAGCCCAGAAAACAGGAGCTTGAGGAGATTATCTAGACTCACAGATGTACTCGTAACAAAGTACACTGCAAACCAACCTATGCAACAATATTTTCTGCCTTAAACTTTCATAATCCTTTCTTTAAATACAAATCAACATCACTCAGCCATAAGGAAGCAATCAAAAGATGGAATTATTCCATGACGCTATAAACTATGTTTTCCACCTTGGTAAGTGATAATATTTCACAGAAGTGCAGGATCTAACCTATTGGGTTAGGATCTAACCTAACTGTACATGACTTCAAAAACTCCACAATGTTATCTGTGGGAGAAGCCAACTCTGGTGCTCTTTGTACACATAATTCTCTGGACTTGGGATGCAGAAAAACCTTTTCCTTTGCATTGCTTGGGTAAATTCACTGAATTGGACATTCAGAACTGAGTGAAAGGTGTTGGGGACATAAAATAACTGAAGCTTTTTACTTGTTCTTCCATAGGAATTTCACCTTTTCTGGTTTCAAAACAAAACCTGAGCAACAGCTGGAGAAAAATGTGGATCTAGAGGAAAGAGGCAAGCAGGAGGGGTATAAACAGTCATCTCGTGCGAGGAATATTTCCAAATGTTTCAGTTTCTTAAAGAGAAGTTCTCGTGCTGGTAACAGTGCTGTCAAGTGACAGCTCAGTCGAGTAGTTCGATGTACAAACAACTGCGTTAGCTGGGACACAGGATTTGTACAAAATCACTTTTAAATAATCGCCTCCTGTCTCTAAAGGTTTTGTAGGAGCAGCTTTCCATTACTATGGCCACAGGAGGAAACATTCAGAATGATACCCAAGTTCACTGCTGAAGGAGTATAAAACTAAGCAGTATTTAAGATAAGAAATTATGTCTGGAGCATCCTCTCTATGTTCACGCCATAGAAACATTTCCTAACAGAACACACCGTTACCAAGGCTTTCGGAATCAAGAGCTCCCAACCTCTTGAGACAAGCGAGTGCCCAAGCACAGCTGGAGCTAAAGCTGGCCAAGGAATCATCAATAACATCAGAATACGAGTTACAGCTGAAATGTTAACAAGATGCTTTGCTATAGGTCTTGCCATTGTATGTGAGATACACCAGGTATGTTTTACTCTAGTTAAATATGCCAACAACACACTTCTAGCAAGATGTTCCCTGAAAACAAATACAACAACAAAGTAGTTCAGAAAAGCTGGACAAAACTAGAGAGTTAATTCAGAAAATAAAAATAACTGGATTACTGCATTTAACCAGCACTGTTACTTTGATACAGATAATTATAAATCTACCGTACTTCTCTTTGGCTGAACCTTAAAAGTAAAATTCAATATATTCAGAGAGAAATTACAGCTTTACATACATTCTATTGAAAATGTAATCAATCATCAGAGGCCTCTTTAAACCGTCCCATAACTCTTTACAGCAGTAAAGTTTTTTAAACCCAGGTATTAATGGAAGGTGAAGAGCTATCAGTGAAAATCTATGTATGTAGCACATAATTATCACCAGAAGCCGTTAAGTGATGGGACACATGAAAGTGAAGTCATCAGGACTTGTACCTTGTGCTGGCGACACTTGGTGACTCTGCTCCCAGCCTACATCTCTCTAGCTGATTAGCCACAATCTGCCTTTCCACTTCCAGCTCTCTGGTAAGCCTTTGAAACTGCAGCTCCTGAAATTTCAAAATAAAAAGAAAAGCATTCTCGATGTTAAAAATGGGTGTGGATTAACTCTGAAACCATCCCTGCTTCATCACAATCATCTTTCTTGTTCTGGCTTCCTTAGCGGAATAAACTACGAGAAGATTAAAGTGGGAATTTAACGGTTCTTTAAGCCAGTGATTCATGCAAATGTTGATTTATCACCTGTTACCAAAGGAAAAACATGTTTATGCATTTGTGGACTTGATTCCTCCTGCAGTTAAAATACTCGTGTCTCCTTGTGCTGCCACAATCTAACAGAATCAGTGCCTATGAAGTCAGTCTTCAGTTTCATCTATAAACGAGATACACGGGAAAATACCGCACCCTAACCTTTCCAGCTGCAAAACTTAAACCCTCAGCTACGATGTTCTGAATTCTAATGTCAGAAACGTAACAGTTATAATTTGGAATGGGCTGAGGACAGAGAGGTGTTATTTCACATTTCCCTGTTTCAGCCGTTGTCGTTTCCTGGTCAAAGGTACCAAACCTCAGCCTTTGGGAACACAGTGCTCAGAGGAAGACAAGGGAAATACAGACGCTGCACAGGAGGTTTGTGTGTTATTAAAATGGGAAACACTTCCTATAAAAACGATGCTCTGAAATCTATCCTATGTCACCAAGGGACTTCAGCGATGTTTTCACCCACAATTAGCCTTTAGTAACTACAGAAAAGGATTCTGCTGAGAAATTGTATTTTTAAACTGATACCATGGATACCCCAAAGTTTAAGTTAACTGTTCAACGCTATTTTAAAAAGATGAACACCAATATTTGACAATCTGATGAAGCAAGTCTTATATACAAGCTTAATACAGCACAGAAGCACTCCTTTAATTTCCAAGTGGTAATAAGGTTTTTTTCTGAATGTAAATCAGGCAGTGGTGTGACACAGCAGCCGCACACCTTGCGTACTACAGCAGTCACCCTCACTCACAGATCACAGCTAACACAAACCATCCTCATCCCTCAGTCACAGGGAGCGAGGTTACACAGCTCACTGCCGTGCTGGGCCCTGGGGAGCTCAGCTGCTGCACGCACACAGCTCTGCAGCGAGGGACAGCCTGGCTCTGCCTTGACCCCAGCACAGCAATGTCCCTGGGTACAGCGTGGCTCTGCTGTGATCCCAGGTACAGCAATGTCCCCAGGTCCAGCCTGGCTCTGCCAAGCCTCTGGGTACAGCGTCACTCTGCAAAGTCCCCAGGTCCAGCGTGGCTCTGCCATGCCCCCGGGTACAGCGATGCCCCCCCGGCAGCTCCTCCTGGAGGGCTTCACGCAGTGCAGCAGAGAGGTCAGAGTAACAGCGCACTCAAAAGTACTCTAAAACCAAGATTTACCTTGCAGGAGCAGGGATCAAGTCTTTTCTACCTACACACGATGAGATTACCTCCAAACAGAAGGCTAATGAGCACCGGGTTCATTAGGAAGCCAGCTGAGGGCTAAGTCAAACAGCAGCTGTCACAGTGCCGAAACCACACCACACATTAGATGACCTTTAAAAAAAGCTGCTTCTGAAAGCCCAGTTCGAGCTCCATCCCACAGAGTGGGCTACTGGGGATACAGCACTGCAGGTACTGCCCCTCCCAGATGATACAAGGACATGTAGCGCTTTCAAGCACGTCTCAGGGCTCACCAACCAAAGCAAATGGACACCAATACTCGAGATGTTAATTCCAGCAGCAAACCTGTGTGCTCCAGGACACGGAGCTGGCCCACCACTGCTACAGGACACAACCACCGATGGAACAAGGCTGCGTTTTCCTACCGCTGCTCACCCGAGAGCAGTCCAACAGCACAGGTATACGCTGTATTCTGCTGAAAACGAATGTGCAAACCAGGGGAGCAGCAGAGAGACGTGGCCCTCAGCCTGCTCCTGGCCATCCCTCCACCAGGGTGGATCCAGTGTCCAGATCAGCATCAGCAAAGCCGAGCACAGCCCATGCTCACACATGGAACAGCATTTCAGGACATACATCCTAAACTTGGGTTTTACTAAAACCTGCTGTTAGACAGAACTGTGAACCTAAATCCTTTTAATCCTGAGACCTGATATGAAAGCCTCATGAATGTGATAACCTGCAGACCACAGCAAATCGTATGGGTCTGTACATGGACCGGAAAGTACAGATAACATCCACAGGTCTGTAGGACATGCAGCTGTGTGAGCAGAGACCCAGTTGTCCCGCTCTGATAAGGCTCTCATCAAGGTTCAAGTCCACGTTGTACCCAAGGGGCACACGAGCGCCCAGTCAGCTCCTCTGGACAGTTTGTCTCTGAAAGAAAATTCTAACAAGTGTATTAAGCTAAAAATGTCAAAGGAGTTTACAAATGAACACTTATTTTCCAATTCTAACTCTTAACAGAGATAATATACCCATCTAAAAGCTGGTTCCCCAGCCAGACGCTAACATGCAACTGCAGAACGCCAGGATTTAAAAACCCCAAACATCCAGATGGTGAAGCCCTGTAAGTGTGGAAGCCAACATCAGCAAGACAAGCTCCTTCCCAAGTAAAGCATGATGTGTGATACAGCATGTAACAAACAGACCTTTAAAATAAACACTATTGCACTGCTTGTTTGCAGAAATAACATAAAACATTTAACCTACGCTTAAAGCCATTTCCTGCTCCTTACTTTTAAATCAATATTTAAATAGCGATGTCATTGATACGAACTATGAATCTGAACACGAGACTCCAGTTGCCTATTGTTATTTATGATCTTTTAATTAGATTAATGAAATAAAACACACCAGCTATTATTTGCTTCCATTCAACCAATCTCTATTAATTTGCCTTTTCATTACAGGCAGAGGCATTAGCGGAAATAACATTATTCTAAAAGCCATGCTCCCAACACGAGCTATGAACACACAGTCACCCGAGCGCTCCCCTCCCTCTGCACCCCAGCACAGCCCCTGCACCAGCTCTGTGTCTGCGAGACATTTTGTAACCCAGGTGTGACCACCAGGAAACTGCTGCAGGAAAACACTACAGCCAGTTACCAGATCCCATGGAAAGGCTGACATAGCCCAAAAAAACTTTTCACATGGGGTGAATCAATTAAAAAGGAAACGGGACAAAGCTCCAGTCCTAACAGTCACAGTAATCAGAGACCCAAGAGAGAAGATAAAATCTGGGCTTGTCAACCAAGCTTGCACCTCCACGATCAAGGCTATTTCAACTGATTTGTCACACGCTTCTGTCCTAAAGGCATTTAAGAGATGAATCAGTAATGGAGATAATCAGAAAAATCAATAGAGACTTCTTTTTTACAAATGTAAACCAATTACAGGTTTAAGAGCCAGAAAAACTCCACTGAAACTACAGGAGTGACCAACGCAAGAGAAGTCTTCTCCAAACACTACAGAAGTGTAGCAGCTACAGAAAATACCCTTCTTCTGCAGGACTGAAAAGGGACCAAGCTAAAATACAGGAAGATACGTGGTAGATGGGGAATGCTGTAAAGAGACAGCTGATGTGGGATGGCGCCTCAGGACCCCGGGTGCACCTCACCGGGTCCCATGGACGACCTGTGCTTGGGTTCCCCAGGTGGCCTCAAACCTGGTCCTCCCTTGCAGTGGGAGGGATGCTGTACCTGCCTTGAGGTGCAGGGATTGGAGATGGGAGAGATCACCATTGACAATTCAGGCAAAAAACTTGTAACATTCAAAGCTAAATTAATTTCAGTTACTTTAACTGAAAGCAACAAGTAGGAAAAGGGAAGAACTCTTCTTTTTCTGCTGCTAATTCATCTTCTAACCTGACAGATAATCTTTTAAACATGCACAGTTTGGTTTCCACAGCGAGAGCATAAGTCCTACCTAGAAAATCATACAATGTGGTTTTGACTGGCATAATGATGCAGAGAGACACATTTAGTACTGGACCGCTGCGTGGCCTGCCCAACAGAGCTCAAAGCAAACTGCCCTGCTTCTTCCCCACACTGCAAAAACCCAAAGGCATTTAAAACAAAAGAACTGCACCTCCTTTTCTTGGGAGGGAGGTGGAAGAGGTGAATGCAATGAATGGACAACACAGCAATACATTTTACTTCATTTATTTATACTATGTTTAAAAAGCAAAACTCCCCAGTATTCCATCAGAAAAAATGTGCTAAGAAGAAAGAAGAGGAAAAAAAACCCAAGCCACGTTTGGTGGCTACTTCTGAGGTACTTGCACTGTTGATTTCGGACAGACACCATCAGCTGTCTATTTACAATATTCTCCATAACTTTTTATTTTGGTGCTGACCAAAAGATAAATATCACAGTGCACTGAACTGCAAAGGTGTAAAGGGCCTGCAGCTCATTTGCCATTTAAAAATCATTCTGGTGCTTAGGAAGATCTAATGTATTTTAGCAAGTGCAAGCAAAGCAGAACAAACCCCAGCTCTCTTCTCTAGCCTGAGCAACCTCCTCGTGTGCAGGCTGAGGTCCCAGGGAAGCAGCAAGGTTTACATACTCATTGAAACAACGAGTGCTGACTTTTCTATGTCTCTTCTGAAATTCGGTATCTGCAGCTTTAGTTGGTATGTCTTAAACACCTGCATAAACATAAGAGGGATAATTTTAGAGGTATCTTCTTCACAGCTGAATACATCATGCTTTAAGCTTTCTTTTATTCACCTTAAATCATTGTACTATTTCAGAAAACAAAGCTCTAATCAATTCTAAGTAAGTGTGTTGGTCACTCTCATGCTTCCTTGCAATGACATTTCACTCCACACTGGATGACAGCAGCCACCACCACTGTTTCCCGTCAGACGGTGCAGGATCACTGCAGGAACCACCTCCATTTGTCTCTCCAGGCAGCAGAGGACTCGCTCTTCCAGTGTGATGCTCCCATGCTGTGCTGGCTGTTGCCCCAGCAAAAATCACAATTATTACAAAAATCTGTGACTGGTTTGTGACCAAGTGACACGGCAGAGTCAAACTAAACAATTATGAAGGTTGTTTTCATTTGCAGAGCA